AGATGTCAGCATTAACTACACACAAGGTGTCTCTGCTGCAGTGCCACATTGGGGACTCGAGAAAAAAAAAAAAAACTCAGAGAGAAAGAGCTGAGTCACGGTCTGCACAACCTCTAAAACAAAAACTGGAGGTGAGAATGGGCCCAGCTCTGCTCAAACACACACTCTGATGCATAGCCTGTCGCAAGTGCATCTATTGACGGCTCAGAGTAGCATAGGATTCCAAGGAAGGATAGGAAGGTAGGAGGGGAGGAGGGTGAGGGGGGGCTGGAGCAGAGGGCAGCCGGTGGAGCACAAATCCCCTTCTGCTGCTCAGGCTAATTATATTCCCCTACTCCTTAACTAATCTGCCTTTTCCCTCCCTCCTATCTCCATGGATTCTTTCATGCATTCATTCCCGGGAAAACGTTAAAAAAACTTCCAACACTTAAACTTAGTGGTGGACATAAACAGCTCAGGGTGTGTCAGAGACGGAGGTGGAGGAACAAACATGGAGAGTGGAAGAGTTTGGTGGTAGGCTTTTAAATGTGTGTTTGTTTGGATGCGTCTGTGTGGTCAAAGCTGGCGAGCAAAAGGCTGCTTGCAGTTTATTTGCTTAGAATAGAGATGAGAGGAGTGGACTCTCACACATACTGATGAGGAGACTGCAGGGGGACGAGACACACACCATCAGCCTTCTACCCTTAACCCTTCATCTCACTGTGTCGTCCCCCCCCCTCTCTACTGTTGCCCTGTTAATCAGGTCTGATCCCTCGTTTGTGGAATCACCTATCTCCTGTGGCTGTGACTTACTACATTTCTGTTTGCTTGTACACTGACTTCAAATGCAAGTGTACCAGCCTAGGAAGACACAAATATATGCAAGTGCACAAAAGTGTATTCGTTCTGCCTGTCCAAAACTGCTGAAATCCACAAAGACCATGACTAAGAATCTACAGCTGAGTCAGTAGTGATGCTGTGAGGGTGTTCACACAGTGACAAATAATAAACTGATGTATAATAATTACTATCATAGCATTTTGTTAGCATGCAGACATTTGTAAATGAATAAAGCTAAGGCAGATAAAGGCAATAGTATGTACCTATTTGGTCAGTGTTTGCCCTCATATTGACCAAATGCTGTATTCTGTGAAATTGTGTGTTGTGCAAACGTAAATGATAATGTTATTTCTGGTATTGTGACATCCATAAGCTATATACAGTATGATCCACTGTATAAGAAGTGAAATTATATAACTGGAGGCATTTAAAACAAAGCTTTGAAATTAGAACAAATCAAAAATATAAAATGCATATAGTCTATCCTCCCTAAAATGCAATAAAAAATCCTTTATTATCGCATTACTTGAGCAGGCTTCGCTGCTGGTGTCTCAGGCCACAGCTGACTGAATGAACCCCTGACCTCAAGTGAAAAAGAAACCTGACACTCACATTATGGTAACAAAAAAGTCTTACAAAGATCTGATTTATAAGTAGCCTTCAGTGTTCTGCTTTCTTTCAAAAACAATGCAACAGGGAAGCTTATGATCAATAACCAATGACTGAGATCAAATAGCAAACATAAAGTCATGAGACAGCTGGGATGCCTGAAGCTCAGACACTTTTATTACATTACATTACATGTCATTTGTTAGACGCTTTTATCCAAAGCGACTTACATACAGTACATTGAGTACTGTGGACAATCCCCACAGGAGCAATTTGGGGTGAAGTGTCTTGCCCAGGGATACAACGACATGCTGACTGCAGTGGGACTTGAACTTGCTATCCCCTGATTCAAAGTCCAGCACACTAGCCACCGAGCCACAGCACTTCCATTAACCTCATCTTCTGCTAATACAGCACTATACTCTCACACACAAGCAGAGAGGTGTGAACACATACTAACCATACAGTACGCAGCATATCAAAAAACATACAAACTACAACACATAATATGCTAGTTCACCATTACTGACTGATAAATAAAATAACCGCTTCTGGCATCAGTTAAACACATTCCTTCTGGAAAAGCTGAGACCTGTGACTGCCTGAACTGGATGTGTCTGTTTAAATCAACTGGAAGTAGGTCAAATGCCCAGTTAGTCGGGGAGAGGAGAAACTGCCCGTGAGAAGGGCTGCAAGTACAATAAGTTAATACATAAATAGATACATTTCACTGATTAATCTGCAATCTAAGTTAAAAAGTATTTTTTCTCACTCCAGAGCTTCGCTTGTATCATATTTTTTAGCCACACATACACTGTCGCTTACGGCTGGCAATGTTGGTCATGTGGTTCACTTTTTTGGTTCAAGCTGAAATATCTCAGCAACTATTAGAACGATTAACATGCACTTTTGTATGGATATATTTTGTTCCCAGAAGATGAAGCATACTGGTTGGTGATCCCCTGTCTTTTCCTGTAGCGCCACTAGCAGGTCAATTTTTGCTTTTCAAGGGAAACTTTCTAAAACCTACTACAGGGACCAGGAAATTATTATGTTTAGACATTTCCTTAGCACCACTGGGAGGTTTTTGTAAACAGCTATTTATTGAATTACATTTGGTACACATTTTTATAATCCCCTAAGATTTTGGAGTCCCTTGACTTGTCATCTAGCCCCATTATCAGGATCAAATCGTTTTCTCCAATACTAATGTTTAATCCTTAAAACATGTTTAAAATGTAATTCCCATGAACCTCAGCTGTACTCCTTTAGTGATAATTAGCCAATGTTAGCATGCTAAGATGTTAAAATTAGTAAATTGATTGTAAATATTACATGTGCTAGTTATTTATTTATGTGAAATAAGGAAATGCACATTATTTTTGACTGAGCAAAGATAAGATTGGCTTCACAGTTCTGCCCACTCACTGCTGACAGATGACCCCACTGATAGATGGATGGTTTTGATCGCTGCCATGTACAATATTCACCCAAAAAGAGGATACAGTCAGCTACAGTGTGGGATAGAAATAGATCTTGCCGATTTTATATCAGTTTGAGGATATTGCATGTACAGTTATGTTTATAGCACATCACTGTCAGTCTGAAACCAGGAGCTAAAGATATTTTCGCAAAGTATTCTCTGGGGGAAATAAAAACAACAAGAGTTTTCTGTTTCCTGCAGAAACACCTCCTTTTCAGCTCAGGAGAAGCAGTTTGTCATATTAGTCAAAGCTAAATTATTTTCATCCTCAGTTAACTTTGTTTCCCTGAATCTCTCTTTTCCTCACTCTCCCTTCCTCTTTGCTGTCTACTATGATCAGTGTTAGTCTCTACTCTGAGCCGATTACTGCTCTCGTCCTCCTGTCGCAGCACATTCTCCTCACATTTCCTCACAAACGCATAGCTGCCACTGATTGCAATGTCTGAAAATATAAAGTATAATGCCAGGCACTTCATTCCTGTACATGTAAAGTGAAAAATATGAACTTTTTAAATCATGCTTGTAGTAGAGAGATTCAGCTAAGAATTATCATTCATATCTGAATTTCTTTCAGTTGTATTCCTCTTGCTTTGGCATAGCCATAACCTTCTCCACCCACTCACTGCAGCCATACTTTCACTATCTGGTGAAGAAGGAGAGGCAACTGCAGTCCACCGTGCTGAATTTATGATTGCAGCATGAGCCTCGCCATCATCGACATAAAAAATATATGCATAAGTAAAATGGACAGTCGTTGACAGTATAAGCCTATTAAAGACCTTTTTACTTTTCTCTCTCCATACAGTTGCTACAAATACAGAAAATAAATAATGAGATGCAAACTACAATGTCACATGGCAATACATGAGCAGCTGTGTGTTCTCTAAATGCAACCATCATCACTGATATCCAATGAAACAAGGTCAAGGTGTATGTGTGTGTGTGTATGTGTGTGTATGCGTGTGCGTCTGCGTGTGTGCATGCATGCTTGTTAAATGTAGTTGTGTGCAGGCAGTGAGTGGATTAAATGAGATTTCTATAAATGGATCAAAGGAGAAGGGAAGCAAACACCAGTGATATGACTCATATCACTCAATTTCTAATCTAAGTGGCATTAGTTTGATAAAGGAGAAAAATCTGTTAAATCACAAGGCTGCAGGAGAAACGTCAGGACATCATATCTGCAGTCTGGAAATGGGTTCTAGTGTCAGGGTCAGAAAAAGCTTTCTTCTTACATGACTGTGTAATGAATTTTTACTGCAGTCAGATATAAAAAAAAGCCTAAAATGTTTTCCTGAAGCCACTTTGACCGCACAGAGAGAATATGAAAGGACAGGAACACACACACACATGAGCTTTGCAAAAAACGCAATAGCAAGGCCCTGACAGCAACATTTAAGAGGTGATGTGACAACCTGGAGTGGCGTGTACATGTTAAGTAACAGTCAAGGGTTACAGTAGGGAAAGGACGATATGTGAAAGGTCACAGTGTCCCATTTCTACCCTTAATCTCTCTCCATCAAACAATACTGAAACCGATGGGTGGAGTACTGAGGAAGAGTATCCATGAGGCCCATGAGGGAGAGTATCACAACACAAATCATCCTGTCTGCAGCCTGTGTGTTGGTACATCTGGCTGTCATCCTCAGATTACACATCAGATTCAATGCAATCAAACATTTTGAATCTGGCAGCATTACAAATAATTTGTGTTATTATTATATCATTTATATTATACGACTCAATATCACATTTTCCTTGCAGACATAAACTGTTCAATCATAACATGCGACAAACACACAGCTTACAGGCCAAACGCCTCCCTAGCTTGAGGCAGACACAGCATGAACAGCAGCAGAGACACAAAATGTTTTGCTAATTGACACGATGATCCAGCATTTTCCTTTACAAACCCATGTTTCACCCTTTATTTGGCCTAAAATCAATCAAAAAAAGAGATACAATATCATCTCTTATTGTAGCTGAATCCAGATTATGATTTCAGCTGTATCTATGCTTGATATCAATGTCTGCAATCAAGAATAAATGACTAGGTACTATAGTTGGTGTTGAGTGTGTTGTCACCCACCTATGCTCCGAGTGACAGTCCTCAGTCTCTCCAGCAGCTCCCCAACGGCCATCTCTTCTGTCTTCATCCACAGGATCATCCTCCAAAGGGACAGCGGTAACCCAGCTGCCCACCCAATGGACACATTTGCAGGAAAAAGAGACAGCTTGCCTGCTTTTTTCACTGAATGGTGAAGAGGAGAGCGGATGATGCTGAAGAGGAAGGGAGAGGGGAGACTGTTGCGATGGCAAGCCCAGCCGAGCAGAAGGGAAGAGGGGGATGCAGCAGGGTAATCTAGCCCGGGATTTAACTGCCTGGTTGTCTTTGGCGATACACGGATGCTGGAGGAGAGAGATGGGCGAGAGAGGGGGTGTGTGCAGCTCAGAGGTGCTGGGATGCTTGTGAGAAAACGATGCTTTCGAGGATGCATCAGAGGCGGGTGAGGGGATGATGCTGAAGCTGCTGTCACAGCCCCGGCTGCAGTGACGAGTCCTCAGCAGAGGGATGCAGAGCTCAGGACGCCGGTGATGGAGATGGGGAGGAGGTGGAGCAGAGGGCAGCCTCATTCGCACATGCATGCCTCAGCGTCAGCACACATGATGGTGCGAACCTGTACAGACCTGATAGACACAGAGGGGGAGGGGAAGTGAAGGTCATCGATGCAGTTTCACACACATAGCTGATCCAATAGCGACACCCAGTGTGGAGACAAGGCATCACAGCTGTGTGGATGGAACATTTACTTATGTAGAGATATACAGTGCTGCTAGTCATGTACAATTGCTGGTGCTGCGTTGCCACCATGTGACAACACTTGGTCATTACAGTTGGGTAACTTCCCAAAAGGCCAAATACATGATGCATTTTTACTAAACTGCAATGACTGTTTATTTTTCAATGAATGAAGGTTCAAGCTCTTTTGGGTATCACTTTTAAGGTTTACATTACATTATTAAGGTTTTCTAAATTACACCACTTTACACAGACTAACACATTCTGGCGGATGTGTCAACCTAAAAGGGCACTGTTAAGAATATAAGGTATAAAAGTACCAGATGTTATATAGTTGCTAAGTTATTTGCCCGAACAAATGACAGTAGTAAATGAAACTTGATAAGATTGTATTGTTTAAACAATTATTGTATTATTGCAGGTTATCTATATGTAGATTATTGGTTTTTGGTTTGTGATTATCATAGCATTTATAAAAAATATCAGAATCAGTGCCAACACAACACAGCTCAACAGACAATCCACATGATTAGCCTAACCGTATGCAATTTCCATGGGAATATATGAAAATATAATCTGTATAAAAACAAATCAGCACTGTCTGTTGCTGTAACTGTCCCAGTCAGCACTATATATACAGTCTATGGTCCAAACGCTAGTATTTACACATATTTTTAATTAATGTTTTTGCCAAAGATTCACATCACAGCACACAACAAACTCTCACACCTACACAACACCTACACAACACAGACACACAAAGAGAGTAAAGCACCCTTTTCAACAAAGATGCAACCCCCATAACATCTGAATTTAAATGGAAAGCTAGCAAATGGTGAGGAGAGTCACTAAAGTGTACCAATAGTGTGTTGGGATAGCATCACATACTCCACTTCTGGCATTATTGCTAGTTTATTATTAAAACGTTTTTTAGAAATGTAAATGAAATGTTATCGAAGGAAGTGTATTAACTATGAGTTAGTTAGCATAAGCTAGATCTCGCAGGCTAAACAATATTGGCAAACGGAATGTAACTAAATAACACAACCATAAAATGTTACCAAACATTGCGTGAGCTACATCAAAATAGTATTTTCTCACCCAGTAAATGTGTAACCTGAAAGATTTCTCCCCTTTTCTGGTGGGAGCTGGTGTAAAGGTAAGTTGACATTTTTGTTGACATTCTAGAAACTCTCATTACCGACATGTTGGAAACCGGAAGTCTGAAGAGAGGGGACTGCTGTTGTGCACACATCTTGCATAATGTTACACTTTTATTAATCTCTTTATAAATATATTTGTGCATATATTCGTCAGAACAATGGTTTCCCAAATTGACCATTCTATCCTCTTGACTTTCATTTTGAAATGTTAACTTTTACTTCCGGTATACCTGTCTGCTTTGCTTACATTACATCTTAAGAAACACATATTTGTACTGCATTCCAAATAGAACATATTTTTAACATTTAACAACAACTAAGAAATGAATAATATGGTAATGATAAATCATAAGGTCCCTTGTGCATAAATAAAAAAATAGAAATGCATAACTGTGCGAGTCTGTTCTTTCTAACAAATCACTTATGTGATCCAGTTACAGGAAATTCCCAATGACCAACTTATTGTGAGATATTTGTTGTGATCCATGATAAAATCCTATCTCATCCCATCTGTTGTGTCTGAAAGAATACAGAATATGACAATAATTAGGCCTATATAGAACATTAACAAGGAGGAGAAGTATTTTCAATCTTTCTTTATTACAAGCATAATGACAATACAGTGCTTTGCCTTCGTTTGCTACAGACAGGCTGGCAAAAAGTGAACAGGTGAACTTTTAAAATCTTTATCCAAAAAAAAAAGTAAATTCTCAAAACCTGTTTAGTAATACAAACAGTGCTGTACTGAAGGTATGATATGAGGCGTGCTGCTCAGAGCACATAAGTCGACATTTCAGACATTTGCCAGGCTCAGGAGTGACGAGATGAGCACCTGCTGTCCTGCTGATGGACTTAGAAAAAGCAGTTTGACATTCTGATCAGCAGTAAAAGGCTGGTGCGATAAAACCCATTTGAGACAGAGGCTACAGACAGTCCGTTCCTAGTCAAGTTATTTGGTCACTTTTTTTTCTCACCCACTACATTCTTCTTAGAAAAATAACTTGTGAGGAAGAGTGAACACTTATAAACCCCAGTCCACAGATAAGACCTTTTTTCTTTTAGGGAGAAACTGATCTGTTGTAGAACAAAGTGCAGTGTGTAGACCTATAAGTAAATCTCTAATGAATCATATAACGTATATGTTGCTCTAATTTTGGTTACAAACTTGAACACACATTCTAACAGAGTTCAAATATAGTCTTCTCTCTGGGATACAAAAGTAACAAAATAAATATTCACAATGGACAAAACAAAAATGACAAGTAGAAGAGAAAAACTGAGCTGTGGAGGACTCAGATAAACTGTGTTTAAAGAATGACTCCAAAGAATTCCCCATTAAATAAAATAAAGTAATATAGACCTTATACTGTAGCAATATAGTGGTAGGATTGGTATGTGTGACATGTAGAAAACGTCTGAAACAGTATGGCAACAACACAGTGAGGTGGGACACTGCATAACAAGCACCAAGGCCCTTCTAATAATCTACTGAGGTCAGGACGTTGAGCCCCCCCAAGTTCAAACACTTGTAGAGGCTTGTGGGCTTTAAATGAAAACTGAGACAAATCCAGACCTCCAATCAAACTGATATATTATCTGTGCCCCAGTAAAAAAATACTGAACAATTGTTTTTTAAATCTATACATGTTGGCAGATGGTGATGTGTATGAAAATAAACTGTATAAACATACAAAAATGCTTCGTAATCTGACATTCAAGACTTCCCGAGTCCGTCACTTGCTGTGCAACACGACAGATATGCTTTGGACAAAGAGGACTTTAGAGGATGTTAGAAATGCAGAAAAGGGGTTCATCCATTATGAGCTACAATCGTCAGCTGGAGGACATGATGGATAAATCAGTTCGACATTCTAGTGATTTGATTGTGACATCGCCGATTCAAGTCTCCCTCCTACTCACAACAGTCTAATATAACACCCCATCTCACTATAATAATATATCAAAAGGTTTTTCTTTAAGTTACATCCATACATCAACAGTGAACGCCATCAATAATTTTAGAATACAGAAAAAATAGACTCATGGATAATGCAACACAGAGATAAAACCCTTATAAGGTGACAACATGACATTAGCATTCTTACAGTACATTTTTCTTAACAAATAACATGGCAGCAAACACACAAGCACAATGCAACATAGAGGAATAGACATCCATAAATAAAGTATTGGGCTGCTGTTGTTACCCTTAACGGCCACATGAGGGCAGGAGTGGGTACAGTGTGCTCATTCTTGGGAGAAAGAAAAGAATGTTGAGATATGGTTTATGATGAATGTTGTTTGGGACGAAGGAAGATAAAGGAAAAACAGAGAAGAAGAAGAGCAGATCAGCATGCAGCAGGGAGATCCGACATGCTACACTGGTAGATAAGAAAGTGGACACAATTGTGAGAGAAAAAGAAAAACAATAACGGACACACTGTACCAGACATGTATGCCCTCTATACCCTAACCCTAACCACTCACAAAACAAACTATAAATATAATCCACAAAAAATGTATGAATTAAGGCAGGGCGGCGAGAATACTGCACATCCCTCTTCAGATTTCCCCAGTTTCTCTCCCTTTAGCTGATGTGTGTGTTTGTGTGTGTGTGTGTGTGTGTGTGTGTGTGTGTGTGTGTGTGTGTGTGTGTGTGGGTAAGGCTTTGTAATACACCACTTATTTTTTGTTTTTTTAACACCTTTCTCCTTTGGCTCCTAGCCTGCTGCTGTGTGGCTACCTGTAAGGCAAAGGTGTGTCACGTACAAACATACGGTAACAGGCAAATATCATGCATACACTCGCGCACATGCACACTCACGCACACCTAAAGGGCTGAGCTTGACGGCTGCCCCTGACTTGGCCAGACTACTGTACATATGTTTTTTAAACAAACATTCACAAAGAAGCAAAAAGGACACAAAAGTGGAGGAACAGGCAAGAACTGAAAATAAGAACGAGGAATATAAAAAGGCCTGTTGACATGTTAAAACAGGACAGTTCCTAAGTGCATGAAACAATGCACCTCTGCACAAGTTCCCCTTTTGTTCTTAGACTTTTTCAAGTAAGATTTTGGGTAGGAACTTTGATACGACTTGGGGATGACACTGAATAAAAAAATAGTTAACAAAGTATGAAGATGAGGCGTCAGGGCTGTAATATATAAAGGGTTGTTCACTCAGGTGTAGCCCAGAAAATACACATGGTGAACTCAGCATGGAGGTTGACGTGTGTGTGAACATGTTTATGTTTTGCTCAATAAATCCTCGATCCTTGAGACACAGACCTTGGTCGCACATCCTGCTACGTTTCAGCCCATCAGATCCACACACACACAGTTTCAGAGCCTGGTTCACACGGAGGTCTCCGGCCCTGGAGCGTAGTAGGCGAATCCCGCCCCTGATAGACGGAGAATGTAGGGGCTGAGAGGGCGCAGGTCTGCCCCTCCACCCTCTGTCAAGTGCACCAGTAGTTTCTGGGGAAGGGGATCAGACCTGCGCAGCGACAGCACCTCTGCAGCGGCCAGGTGGAGGCGGGATGAGTCTGTGCTCGCGCCTTTGCAGGACCGACGAGAGGACAGTGGAGTCGACTCGGCCACGACAGCCACCGACAGCTTCTCATGATCCTGCAGAGAGATTGAGGACACGGTTAGTACAAGGTCATTCAAAACACATGAATAATTGGAAAAGGACATCAAAAGAAAGAATTGCTTCATGCAGATTATATCAGAGAAAATATGAGTAACATCAGATGTGAGACGGCTCAATGCCTTCTATCTAACAGCAGGCTTGCATTTAGAAATGTTAATGTCTTATTCATCCAGATACAACTGCAACTTCATTATTTTATTTTATTATTGTTTTAACTGTAGATTACTTTCTAGATACATGTCAAGGTATCTTTTAATAACTTGTTTTGTCACTCCAAATTATATGTATTTTAAGACTGAAAAAAACAGGAAATCTTCTTAAGTAAGAGGCTGAAAACTGCCTCAATTATTTTTCGTGTGCTCAATTAATCAATAAGTAGACTAATTGTTGCAGCTTAATATCCAGATGCTTAGTTAAAGAGTATTAATGACTCCCTGTTATGGACTCTTGAAACACATTTACTGAACAAACAGTAAAAAAAGAAAATGCATTAAGTGTAAAACTGGACAAAATTGACTGATCCATGATGAGAAACCCTCTGAAAATGTTCATTATGATTGGTAGTTTTGTTAGATTAAACATGCATATGAAATCAAGACAAAATTCAAATTTGCTATTCCATCTTTCGACACCAGATGTCATCAGTTTTCCTGCGACAAGAAAATACTTTTCAGATACAAGCTGCTTGGGCAACCTTAATTAGGTTAATAGTAATGACTTAAACATCACCTCAGTAACTACCTAAATACTAATCACATCTGTTTGAACCTCTAAAACCTGACAGTCACCTGAAACATCACAACTAAACCTCCTCTGACCAAGAACCTTCAGTATGAGCTTGAGCTTACTTTCTCATCACTTAAGCTACAGTCCAGGACCAAAGAGGAGTCACAACAGTCTCACACTTGTTGCGGTCCACACATGACAGGTGGCAATGGGTCTTTAAAGTAGCCTGGGACTAATAAAGGATCAAGCCAGGATCAAATTCTCATTTGGCTGCTACCCAGATCAAGTTCATTCCCATCCCACATGCAGTGAGCAGCACAGCACACTTTGCATCCAGCGCTGCAGAGTTAATTGGAGATTGAGATTCCTGAAAGTAAGCTTGACGGAGAGAAAATAATTCTCATGTTGATGCAGTTATACAGGCACCCCCCCCCCCCCCCCCCCCCCCCCCCCCCCCCCTTCCAACAGCCACAGTCGTACAGCAGGCCCCATGCAGAGCAGAGCAGCAGGAAGCATCACGGCAGCAGCATTAACACCCGGCTCCCTCTGTGTGCTGTTACCATGGTGACCCTAGCCCACCTAAAGGGGTGTACTGTAGGGTTTGCTGAGAGGGGTGCTGTGGCTGCGTGACATCATGGAGTCATAGGTCCTAGCAGCTTTAACTCCACTGTCTCCCTCACTGGTCCTATCAGGGCGGAGTGGGCTCCTCTCATCACTCCCCCCTCCACCAGCACAGACCTCCAGGGCCCCTGCTGTCCTAACCTTCTGTGGGTGACGTTAAAGCAGCGTTAATTTCATGGCTAACGGTGCTCCACAACATTTTCCATGACTAAGACGAGACAGCCACAATATCAAACTACTATATCGAAACATACTCTTCGAAAAAATACTTAAAGGTGGGGTAGGTAAGTTTGAGAAACCAGCTCGAGTGCGCTAGAATTTGAAAATACACAACCGGAAAAAATCTGCCACTTCCTTACAGAGCCCCTCCTCCAACACACACGAACGCGCACATGACCAATGAGGGCACGAGATAAGTTTGTGCACAGATGGAAGGCTGACAGGCAGGTAGGCCATCCAGTTATTTTAGCCGGGCCGGCTAAAATGATTGGTCGTGCTTTTTACAGTACTACGGCTTCCACAGATGACATTTTTTATGGATTTTTTGTCAAAGCACTTAAGATATTCATTGCTATCGGGATGTTAAGAGCATTCCATGGAATATAACAAAAAGTGTATCTCGAGCCGGTTTCTCAAACTTACCTACCCCACCTTTAAAGGTACATAAAACTATTAAAGTGACCACAATCATTCTTTTGTTGACCAGCAATACAATATTATAGACTGAAAATAATTCATATCAGGACTAAAGCAGCAGCACACAATGAGCAAAGTCAGAAAGACTCAAGTTTGAGTTAAAAGTAACAAGTGCTCAGGAGAAAGAAACCAGGTACAGTAATACTTTCGATTGGATGGATTGACTGAAATGTTCAATATAATCTGATTCCTCAAAAAAGACAAAATTCTCATTAGTTTTCATGTACTTAAAGTGTATGAAAATAAGAGGGTTAGGTTGCTTAAATATTGATTTAAAGGACAGTGTTTTTTAGTTATCTCATCCATGCAGCTAGAGAAAAAGATTGGTGTTGCTTTTAGTTTCATATTATCGATATGTAGCGGTTGGTTAGCTTAAACCGATAAACTGAAGCTACATTTACATTAGAGATGTGTCAGTGTATCCACACTAAATGTCAATCGACATTGATCAACAACAACACTTCTAAAGAAAGAAATTAAAACCTGTGAAATGATGTCAGCAGATCCAACAGTAAGTCTAACTTACTCTTAATGTCAAAATAATAATACAAAAACACAATAAGGTACCAATAAGAAAGACACAATAACATGGCAGGAAATCTAAATATCTTAAACACAAAATATAACACAAAAAGCTAACTTTATAATAATGTAAAATGTAACTTCATAAAGGTCAGGAGACATTCTAACCTTACAAACCAAACCCTCTGTATTTGATCAGCGCTAGGAGTTAGTGTGTTGAGACAGTGATCAGTGGTTTAAACTGGGACATGCCAGCATGCATACAGAGGGCTTAAAAGAGAGAGTCACCTCCTCTTCCTGCTCCTCTCTCGTCTCTCTGGGCCAATCAGAAACTCATTCTGCTGGAGGACTGAGAAAGCATGAAGATGGTGGACGGCTCCACGGTAAGGCACGGGCGAGAGGACTGCCGGGTGAGTGCAGAGGCACAGGCACACAGGAGCAGTGGGGGAAACAAGAGAGGAAACGTAATGAAGGGGGAGGAAAAAGAAGCAGGATGAGGCAGGTGAGTGAAAGGGAAAGGGAGAGGGGAGCGATGCAAGATGGTGTGATTTGTGGTCCATCAGGTTGCAGTGAGAAGGGGAGAAAAGAGAAGAAAAAGCACAGCAGGGAGAAATCTGTCAGAAATCTGTCAGACCTTTCATTCATTTCTCCACGAAGCTTTCTTTTGAAGGTGAGGCTAGGCCATGGGGAACAGGAAGTCATTCTAAATCACGCTGTTGCTCGAAGCTATTAGGGATCCTAATGGTCTTTCTGGATGATTAATTGAGTGTGAAAGATGTGCAGCTTACTCATACGGTCTCCTAAAGTCCAAATATTATGCATCAGCTAGCATAGGAGATTATTCTACCTACTATATCAGGTCATTTTCTACACTGTAATTACGCTAAAAGGCACACTTTAACGCTCCTAAAAATGTATTAATTGGTTAATGATTTTAGCAAAGCAGAAGCCTCTAAAAGGGAAACCTAACACGGGAACAATTTAAAGCTTCCCTTTCACTGTGGTGTTGGTGCAAAGATCTTACCTGTGCGCGTTCGATGGCTGTGGGACACAAGGCCCTGCAGAGGACTTTCTTTATGACATCTGGCAGCAGGCTGACCGTGATGAGCAGGATGATGCTGAGCCAGGCGGGGCCGCTGGACAGCATCTGCATGAACACGTAGTACATCCTCTGGTAGTTCAGGAAGGGCCTGCGCAGCAACAGGAAGGACACAAAAGGGTTTCAGAAATGTCCTAATAATTACAATTAAGATGACGTATGCTTGGAAAGAAAACCGAAGATTGTTATACCAAATGATTCCTCCCCACAGAAGAGAGAAAATAACGTAGAAAAGTAGCGACCCCCAGACGACAAAGTGATTGATCCAGGTCCAGTGGTGTGTGTCCAAGGCAAGCTGAAACAAACAGAATACACACATAATAAACACTCGGCACGTCAATGGAGTCAATAACTCTGCCTTCAGGGTTTACTGCTGTGCAAACTGGAGTCCATCATTGACGTAACATGTGTGCCGCAAGCTTTTTCTCGCATACGATGACGCACATATGTAATGGTGAATAACTCTATTAAATGGAGGGATTATGCAATTGAATGGAGTTTCTCTTTCCATAAAAATGTATTTCCTAGAAACCCACCTTGAGCGTTACGGTGAACACCAGCACAGTAAAGACCAGAGTCCCGAAGGTCCAGTTCCCAAACATCTGCGAGGGAAAAGTGGAAGAAGCTAGTTAGCGGCCACATCAATACCACATCCCAATCACCCTGCATCCATGGATTAGTGAACCGAATTATTGACAGTGCATATATGAGCACAAAGCAGTGAGAGGTGATGTTTCAGAAAGGGTACTCTTTTAGGCTTCTGTGCCAAAATACTGAGACTATTTTCACTTCACGTCTTTGCATCTAAATCTACCTGCTGAAATCCTAGAAAAGGTTTAAGCAGACATCCGGAGCGAGCAGATGGGATGAGCGTTGAGAGGGAGGAAATGAAAGGCGGGAGAGACAGATCAAGACGAAGAAAGCTGGGAATTGATATAATAACCACAGCTGTTTGTTGGTACCTATATTCGCTAGAAAACTCCTTCATTCATTAATCCATTTCTGAGAATTTCCGTTTGAAAGCTGCTTTATTATGGTTTGTTTGTCACCCGTAGACACAAATAGTACCGAATGAAAAGTGCAGCCAAGCCCTGGATGATTGAGCAGTGATTTCAATAAACCCCAAATCACAAATACATGGACATACAAACACACACAGATGCACAAACACAGAACAACAAACAGATGTAGGATCTTGATCTATAGCACATACTAGCATTACTCGATTTGCTATCACAAGGAAACACAAGGAAAACGTGGGGGAGCATCTAAAGCTGGCTACACACCAACCCGATTTTGGGAGTCAGAGGCCGTCAGAGGCAGTCGGGCATTCGCGGCGCCCTACTCAGGTTGGTGTGTCCCGCACCGTCGTCTCTTTACGGCACCTTTTCACACCTCCCGACGCCTCCCGACGCCGATTCAACATGTTGAATCGGCCGCGGGAGGTCAGAGAAAGTCGGCCCAAGCAATCACTCTGATTGTCTGTTCACACTACCGCTGCCTGCTGGTAAGGACAGTTATTGCCACTCGTCGACTGAAGTATTTGCGGTGTGTTCGTAGGCGATGCAGGCGACGTAGCTGACATAAAAGTCGGGACGCCTTCGGTACGCGTTCTTTGGTCTCAGGTGGGTGTGTAGCGGCCTTAAGGTTTCTACTATGTCAGTGGAGGTTGTTAAGATCGGGTACTGTGTAGGATTCAGGGCTTTACAGAGATTAGGGGAATAATGGAGCACTAGAAAACTACACATTCAAATGAAGGTGCATGGATGATGCGAAGGGATGAAATTGGATGAAACGGTCAAACTGAAAGCTTAAACAGTACGACAGGAACTAAAAAAGCGTGAAAGACAGAGAGAGCTGACAGGGAGGGGGACAGGCTTACCATCTGTGTGTTGGTGGTCATAAGCTGAGGAGGAAGAAGAACAGGTAGAAGAAGAAGAAGAGTAGAGAGAAGGAGCAAAATAAAGAGAGAGGAAGCAGAGAGAAGGAGGGGGGGGAGAAAAGAGAATCAACTTTCAACTTAAAAAACAGGACAATCGAAAAACAGTTGACATGATACAAATTAACAATACAGAGACAGATGCTATTGCGTAGTCGATATGAATGGAGATCCAATGTTGCTGACCTACAGATGGGCCTGGGACAGAAACCTTACTGTTACACATCCACAATAAACAAAAAACACGAGTCATCTTGCAACACTTAACTCCTCTGTCATGACAATCCAATGGAGATGGATGAAGCACTGACTTTGTGTCCATTATTCTCTTTTAATTTCCCTGGAACACCCCACAAAGGGCCAAAATAACTCATGACTGTGTGTTCTACTCTTTTCCATTAAATGATATATCTCAGTGCCTCTGTTGACATGGAGAGAGAGGCTCACCTGGCCGTTGCTAGTAAAGGTGGTGTTGTCAAACAGGAAGTAGGCACCAAAGAAGAAGATAACAGCGTCAAACAGACCCAGGCACGTCCAGTAGAGGAAGACGGGCCATCGGAGGAGCGAGTTCTTCGCTATGTCCCTAAAGAAAACACAGGCAGGAAAAAGAACGGATGAGCAAATGCAAAAAACCTCAGAAAAGTTACAGAAAAAGTATACATAGTGGGGTTTTTTTTATGCCGACCTGTACAACGAGGGGTCCCTCTTTAGCGTATCCATGGTGACGTGTTGCTCCACCAGGCTGTAGAGGAGGATGGGGAGCGAGGTGAAGCTGATGTTGTACAACGTCAAATACGCCGTGTCGTACAGAGGCTGCAGAGGAGGAAGACCATATAATCATTACAATAAAGACAGGAATACAGGCGGTATCAGACATCTGGAACTAAAGGAGGGTTTCAGAATACGCTTTTTTTAATTGTTGAGATTTAATCGATCTATCAGATCCTTTTATCAATGCCATTCTACATTGATTCCTGATACCTTTTATGTTTTGGGACCATTTACTTGTGGTCTTTGGTTGGTCTTAGGGGCTTTGTACTGTAGGTTGTAAGTGTTACTGTATGATAAATGCACTAACATCTACTCAATGTCTTATTAAACATAACTTTTTAAATACTAACTTTTTGATTTCTGGGCCCAAATGCTCACATTTTAGAAAGCTTATTCGGGAGCACATGTCTCGATTATGTCGGTTTGGTGAATAAACTGAACTGAGCTGATGAGAATGGAGTTTGTGGGCCGTAAAATCAAAAGAAAGAAGGGGAAAATATTCAGTAAAGCTGTCAGGGAACTGCAGAGTAGGGTGATAATTCTCTGTAGGTTTTTCAACAAGCGACACTAATTATTGCAGCTTTAAAAGTTCACATTTAAAAAGCATTAATTTCTGTGTGAAACTAGTTTAAATCATGACACTGACTGTAGCCCTAACTAAAGTACTTACCTGCTGGGAGAACCCGCAGAAGAACTGGTACAGGAACTGAGGGAAGATGAAGCATACATTCTGGAAAGATTTAAGAAGAGGGAAAAACAACAACACACAGAGAGAGTGATAAGCTTGTGACAAGTACACGTGAGGAGATTTAAAGAATCTAAAAATGCTAGTATCTACACATTTCTGTTTCTGCAGAGATTGTGTGCTATAAGCTGACTGAGTGGGCTGCAGAGAGCCGGCCTGCCAAAGAAAAAAATGAATCAGTTGGCAGGGCGCTGCTCGCTGTGAAGCCGCCCACGCGATCATCACAGCCGTGGATCCAGGAGAGAACGTCACACCGGGGATTCATGAATCCAGTAATCTGTCAAGAGTAGCTGCAAAATCTGGCTCTTTGTAACTCAGTGTCTCACTGGGAATTAGGATAAAGTGATTAAAGTGTGAGAGCCGGTGTGGAGCGCGTACCTTGTAGAAGAAGTACTGAACGAGCTCTGCAATCCGGATGTAGTAGTAGTGGCCGTGAACAAGCAGCATCTTCTTCAGGTGTTTGAACTTCGGGATGGCGTAGTCACTGTTCCTCGCCGCCTGTCGGCCTTCTTTACCCATGATGCCTTGAGGAAAAAAGGACATAGAATATGAGCAGGAATCTAACTTAGGCATGAGAAGGTGGTTTTATAAAAATAGAGACGAGATCCCAACTAACCGCCCAAAACCCGACTATAATATAGGTCAAAATAAACAAATATTTGATTGTTTTCAGTACACAAGCAGAACATCCAACAATATATCTATTGTATACATGTTTTATTAACTGAATTATGTTTAAGTATGTTTTACTGATTATAATTATTAAAGTTTTACTGTTCCAATGAAATGAGTAAAAACTAATCTTTAATGAGAAAAGATGCATAATGTTTGTGTGTGTCAAAAAACATAAATAGATCTTTATTAAATTTGCTTTACTCTCAGATATCAATATCAGTAGGATTTAGAAATCATCTTGCTCTCTAATAGAAGCAGCACTCCTTATAACAGTGTTAAAATGAGCTCACCGATGCCCACATGTGCTTCCAGGATCATGCTGACATCGTTGGCACCATCTCCAACAGCGAGGGTTATGGGATGCTCCTTGGAAGCTTTAATTAGCTTCACAATCTGCGGGAAAAAACTTCAGTCATTACCACTGTTTTTCATTTAGGTGATATTTGTATACTGAAGTGCAGCGCTCTCACCTGGGCTTTCTGCAGCGGCGCCATGCGGCAGCAGAGCACGGCGCTACAGTTGCGAGAGATCTCCAGAAAGATCTCTTTGTAGTTTCCACAGCCGGCGCCCTCCTGGTTCGCCTTCAGGATTGCAGACAGCGTGGCCCCGTCGATGATCAGACCGAAGTCCAGGCAGTCCATTGACAACCTGGGAGAGAATATCACAGGCGGATCAACAGGGAGCTTTTCACACAACACATCATAGATCCATCTGCAGATATTCCCCTATTTTGTCCAGGTGTTAAAGGAAAGGAAATATCATTTGTGATTATGTGATAAGTGTATGCACATCATTACAGTTCAAATTGATATAAACACTGATATGATTTGGTATTAGATCAAACATGTTAATTCATTTCTTACAGTTGTGGTGAGAAAGTTGGATGTTTCCAGTTTCTTAAATGTTTTAGTTTTTTGTAAATTGAATACCTTTGGGTTTAAGACTGTTGTTTGGATAAACACAAGTCATGTAAGCATTGTCAAAGCCTTACATTTGTGATGGATATGTTTTACAAAATTCCAATGTTTTTAAATGTTCCAAAAGAAGAAAAACAGCTCTGTAGATATATAAACATGCTTTATCCCTTACCCAGAAATAGAGCGTTGTCTGAGAACAGTCCTGTTTAGCTCGAACAGGACGTCGTGCAGACTCTGCTCCTCCGTGCGTTTCTTGGTCAGCTCCAGGATCTGGGTGCTGCGGCGGAACAGCTTGCTGGCGTAGCATGTAGCCGCCGCCGTCTCCATCTTGTCGCCTGTCAGGACCCAAACCTTCATCCCAGCCTTGTGCAGTGACTCGATGGTGTCTGCTGCTTTCTCCTGGAGCCTGCGCGTCAATAAGTCAATAAGTGTTTCAGCCGCCTCCAGTGGCGAAGGTTAAAGCATCCATCAGAACCTCAATCAATTAATTACAAACTGGTGATAACTCATCGATGCACGACCACCCCTGTTCCTGCCCATCAACAGTGTATCTAGGAGGGAGTCAAACTGTCAGGCAGCTGATCGATCAGCTAGGGAACACTACCCTGAAGTCTACCTTGTAAGAGCCAAAACGCGTCTACATTCAACACTGCCTTGATCTTTTTTTGCCCTCATGAGTCATTACTATACTTTGAAGACGGCTTCATGACTCATTAATCTTCCCCTTCTGTTCCCCTGCTGCTGCACTGTTTTTCAATCTTCCCCCTCCTCCCCCTTCCATTTCCATCTCTCTCTCCCACCTCCCTCTCTTTTTCTCTCGGGCGACCAACCTGTCCTCCACTGCTGTAGCGCCCAGAAGCACAAAGTCCCTCTCGATGATGTCATAGGCCTGCGCCAGCCTCTGCTCCCTGTCCTGCAGGGCCAGCTTGGCTTCGTTCAGGTGAAGACACGCCTCCTGGTAGTCGGACTCTGAGAGCTTTCGATAGGCGACACACAGAGTCCGCAGACCCTCCTGCGTTACAGAGAAGAAGAAAAAGATGGAGGGTCTTTACTGTATATAAGGATGCATTCATGCTACTTTATTTTGTCATTTATGTCACTTAGTTTTACTTAAATTGCTGTTACTAATTTTTTTGCCATGGTTGTGTACTTATTTGTCTTTATTTGGACTTTATTACTAATAATCATATTTCATTCCTTTTTTCATTCCATTCCATTGCAATGTAAATACTGTTATATTTGACTATATTTGTATTATATTTTTAATTATTTTTAATATTTGTTTCTAGTTCCCCACCTGTGTTTTTAATTCATGTTTTATGTACGCACCATGACGTCAAGTCAAATTCCTCGTATGTGTAAACCTGGTAATAAAACTGTTTCTGATTCTGATAATAATATGTGCTTTTTAAAGAAAATGTATATTGCATGTTTTTTACCTGCTATGCCACTTTTGCTGTAACACTGTAAATGTCCCCGCTGTGAGACTAATAAAGGTTGATTCTGATTCTAATAACTAGGCCTGAAACAATGCGTCATAAATCCCATTATATACTGTATTGGTTAAACTGTGCACTTACGACAGCATTCAGCTCCACCCGGGCTTTCACCTGCTCCACCTTCCCAGACACGATTCGGGGGAAAATGGACGAGTCTGCCCCCTTACAAAACAGCAGGTATTCTCCTGAGATCCAACACACACAAAAAACAGGTTCAAATAACTGCAAAAGAATTCAAGTGTCCAATCATGGATTTATAAAATGTAAGTAGAAAGAGTGTATTTCACCTGCGCTGGACTTGACTATGACGCTCATTCTCCTCCTGACAGAGTCAAAGTTCAGCACATGGAGCAGCTCAAACCTGAAGGAGAGACAGTGTTGGCATGACATGGGGTACTCTCTGTGACCTTTGTAATATCTTTTCAGATTTGTATTCATCTTCTTTTTTGGGTTTCTTCAACGTCTTGTGAATAGAATTGGATAAATCCACTTCAGGGCAGCTTTGATGTCCTCGCACACAGGTTGTACATTTTTGGTAAGTTCCTACTCTCTATGATTTGTCTGTTCCTCAGTTGTCAGTTAGGTCACTTTTTTGGACACAAAAATCGTATTTATTCAATCTTATTTAATTGTGGTTCTAAATGTAGGAGTATTTTCTGTGGTCTTTTTTGTATGATTCCTATTTTAACTGCAATTGTTTACTTTGAAAACTTGTTTCACTTGCCTGTACTTTTAATGATAACTCTTTTACCTTTGCTGCACCTTTATCTCCCTTTAAAGCACATCACATGACCCTGCTGTTTAAAACATGTCTTGCCCAGTTTGTATAAAAGGTCCAAAAAAATGTACATTTCCTTTGAATTGCTTAAAAACAGCACATGTGAGAATGTAACCTTTTGCCAAAGTCTTCACATCTGCTGGGTGCCCCCCCCCCCCCCACCCACCCCTCTCCCCTCTCAGCTCCCCTGCTTCCTTAAAATAGCTCAGTATTGACAGGCCACTGCAGAGAGTGATGGAGAGAGAGCTGCTTACATGAGCACTCCCTATGGATCAAAACACACTTCCCACAAAACCACTCTCTAATGGGATCTCGCTGCCTTTCATTCTTCAACATCAGTCGGAGCATTTTGATCTGATTGAGCAGTTTCTAAAAACAACCGTCTGCTCACTCTTTGATGGTTGTACTTTCTTTTCTGTGAGCTCTGTTGAACATGTAACACAATCCGAGAGCCCTTTCTCTCCAGGCGGCTGATGTATGACCACAACTCCATCAAATGAATTACTCCCACTTCATCTCCTGCGGTGTAACCACAGCAGACCTTTAAAGGACCAACCTTTCAATCTCATCTTCTTTGTTCAGGATCTCCATGTAGTTGTCTTTCAGTCTCAGATAGGTGTAACCCAGCCTGGCAACAAGAGTGAGGGGAAAGGGAGAAATTATTCATTTAGATCTGAGTATCAATATACACTTTACTCACATTCAAAGGTGTTGTGACGCATTGAGTGTAACCTGATCACAGCTCATACACTTACTACATCTGTGAAAGCAATAGGGCAGATCAACAAACTGTGATATGACATGTTGCACCGCGTGTCTTACTATACATGTGCCTCGGGTCACATCCTGACCAGAAATAGCTTGTGAAGCAAAAAATTGTTTTAGTGTGTTTACCTTTTCATTCCCTCCACCAACGCCACCTCATCCGGAGAGGAGGAGATGTAGAAGGAGGTGGGCCGGCCCTGGTGGATGCCCCTCTTGATGCTCTCCACCGTCTCCTCCTCCTTCACCTGCACCGTGTGACACAGACACAGCGCCCGGAAAAACAGATCCTCGTGTTCCTGCAGACACAAAGCCGTACATTAAACAGTAATCCACTGCAGCTTTTTTACTTTTAGGAATCCAAGGCTTCAGTCTAAGATGCATTATTAAAAAAAAATATAAAATTGCAAATCAAATCAAAATCAAATCAAATCAAGTTTTATTTATATAGCACATTTATAACTATTTTTGGTCGAGCAAAGTGCTGTACAAATAATAAAATACCCTACAGTAAAGACATTTTACAGCTAATACAACAGCACAGTTTGTTCAGAATATCAGTATGAGAATAATACGAAACAGAATACCTGATACCAGAGGGGAAAGTTACATTGTTACAGCAGAAAAGAGCCAAAGACAGCTTAATGTTACCTAAGTAGCATGCATAACAATAAAAATAAATAATAAAAATAATATATATATATATTAAAGATTACAAAAAAGTTACACAATTTACAAAAAACACATCCTGTAACAGTTCTGAGGATTTAGCAGCCAGGTATATATTGCACAGTTATTAACGGCATATATATATATTGCACATATTGCACATAGTTGGTGGTTAACAACAAGGAGTGTTATAAGTTATTATTAGTCTGTGGTTTCCTCCATTTTGTATGAACTAATTCTGCAGTGTCTTGCAATTAAATATACATTGTTGGTGCTATAAAGTCATCACTGTCATCAGCCAGAATCACAGAGCAATAAAGCAGCATATCCATTTTCTTTCAAGTTTTCTGCACATTTTAATTTTCGCAGGGCGCTCTTTTCTCTCTCTCTGGTCATCTGTGGTGGCTTCTGCTGCTCGTGCTGACTACACAATTCTGCTCCTATTAAATCTAAACAAATCACTGTTGCTACAGGCAGAAATGCAAGGCTCATCACTTTTCTGTGCACCAGAGGACTTCTTCTCCATGTAAGACACAGCAAACACTTACGGTTTACAAAGAGGTTATAAACTGGATGTGCACGCCGCATCCCTTCTGTGTTTATCAGCAAAACAGACATTTGTTTGTATGAAAATGTCAGATATAATTACTTTAATGCTCCTCCTGCCTGAAAATGTGACATGTTAGTTAATCTACAACCGTCTTACTCACTTATATGTGAAGCTTTTTCTTTACTCTCCATCTCTATTTGAGTTAGCTCAGCCAAGAGTCTATTCAGGCTGGATTAAGAAGCCTGTTTACTTTGTCACACACACACACACACACACACACACACTTACTCTCCTATATCCTCCGGGTGAGGAGTCAATCATGTCTATACTGGAGGCAGCGCTGAGGATTTGGCCGTTGCAGATGGCATGTGGGATGTAGACGTTCCCATCGACGCAGCACTCAATAAACTCCATGTTGTTCTCCGTGAGAGTGCCTGTCTTATCAGTGAACACATACTCCACCTGGGAGGGAAGGAAGAGGGTAGGATAAGAGTGTGTCTTTAAATAGTTTACATGCAGATACTGTGTGTAAACGTCTGCGTCTCATGTACCTGTCCCAGCTCCTCGTTCAGATCCGAGGTGTTGACCTGAGCCCCCTCTCCCAGCTCCTCGTCGAACATTTCCTCATCCCATGTGATGAAATAGGAGCCCAGGAATTTTTGCATCTCCACCGTCACGTACATAGACACTGGGATGATGTAGTTAAATAAGACCATGAAGGCCAGGAAGTCTGTGAAGGCTCGGATCACCTGGAGTAAGGAGGGAAAGGGGGAAATTACTTTGTTATAATTCATTGTAGAGACCATTTTTTGGCACTACAATACAAACATTTTTTCAGACTATTAAAAGGTGACACAACACAACATGAAATGGTACACAATTAGCTTTAAAGGTGGGGTAGGTAAGTTTGAGAAACCGGCTCGAGATACACTTTTTGTTATATTCCATGGAATGCTCTTAACATCCCGATAGCAATGAATATCATTCCTAATAAATGTCATCTGTGGAAGCCGTAATACTGTAAAAAGCACAACCAATCATTTTAGCCGGCCCGGCTAAAATAACTGGATGGCCTACCTGCCTGTCAGCCTTCCATCGGGGCACAAACTTATCTCGTGCCCTCATTGGTCATGTGCGCGTTCGTGTGTTGGAGGAGGGGCTCTGTAAGGAAGTGGCAGATTTTCTCCGGTTGTGTTTTTTCAAATTCTAGCACACTCGAGCCGGTTTCTCAAAATTACCTACCCCACCTTTAAGAGAGAGTGTGATAATATTGAAGAATAAATATGTTCTGCATGTCATGAGTTTTTGATTCTTGTACTGTCGACCTAGTAATTTGAAATGTTGAAGATATCCTGTTAACTTAGTTTTGTCTCATTAATTTATTTATTTACTTGTATTTTGTGTGAGTAGATATTGTCCTCTCATCATACTGTTGTGTAATTTACAATATATGTTTATCTCTTGCCTGTACAACATTTAAATAAATAAAAAATACATGATGTTGGTGTACGGACCACATGTCGCTGGCGCTCGTTCTCCGTCCTGTGGTTGTACCAGGGCTCGTCTCTGTCTGGAGACCACTGCCAGGCGTATTTCAGAACCGTGTTGATGACCGCTTTACTGATCAAGATGAACAGGTACACTATGAGGAAGGCATTCATCGACCTGCAGAGAGAGAGGGCACAGATCAGGAGGAGGGAACAGGGAATGTATAAACCATACTATTAAATTGAAGAGTGTGGACGTGGATCATACTTTTCTACAGCGGAGCGCTTCTGAGATTTAGACTGATAATTAAGCGCCATCTTAGTCTCCATACCAGTGTAGACTGCAACAGCTGAGGGGAGATAACAAAGAGGTTATCAAGAAACGATTGATATCAGCCTCATAGCTCAAACATTCAAGAGATATTAAACAGTGAATCTGCTTGTTACCATAAATATGTTGTGTGTTCTTCAGTGTGGCTCCTCTGAGGAGCAAATTCTCCGCCCCAAGTGGTCTGCAGGAAAGAAACAGAATGTTTTCATTGAGAAAAAACAATAAATGCATTTGATGAATTGAGAAAGACAGTTGGCCTTGTCAATAAACGTTACACTAACAAATACAATTAATAACCTTTCTAGGATAAAAAGTACACTCACCTAGCCACTGGCTCTTCTTTGTCCTTGTAAATATTAATGCGTCCCACAAATCTGCAAGAGGAAAGAAAATCACAGCACAATGAAAGTCAGACAAGAAACAGTTGTGCATTATAGAAAAATAATATTAAATAAATACTACTACTTTAATACCACTAAGAATAAGAATAATCCTTATTTATATAGCACCTTTCAAACATAATAACAAAGTGCTTTCCATTAAAACAGAACACATTCAATACACACAGAAAATAAAGAAAGCAACCAAACACATAATAAAACCCAGAGAGTAATGCAAACAAAAAGTAATACAAAAGAAAGTAAATCACATGAAAGGTAAGTGATTTCAAAGACCAGACAGAGTCATGTGAACGAAGATGCATCAGTGATTGGTGTCACACTCACTTGTAGAGGTCAGGCTGTGGTTGTTCACATTCGATGGTGGCGTGTAGCGAGTCCACCTCCTGCTCCGTTCTAAAGGCCAGGGTATCTTGTACAGCATAATAGGTCTGAGATAGGAGGGTGGAGGAAGGGGGAAGAAGAAGACAACAGAGGGAAATGTCACCCGCAGCCACTAATGAGAGCAGGGTTCATCTGGCGACCGCAGTACGGCTTCTGGCAGATTTTCTAAACGACTGAGCGAGGCGGGGTGGTGAGCATAGAACAGCATGGCGGGGGGGGGGGGGGGGGGGGGGGGGCGCTCATCAGGGGGTCGGCCCGAGGGTGAGTGTGAGGAGAGAGGCTGTAGTACTCCACCATACGCTCTGGGATACTAATATATGTGTGTGTGTGTGTGTGTGTGTGTGTGTGTGTGTGTGTGTGTGTGTGTGTGTGTGTGTGTGTGTGTGTGTGTGTGTGCTAAGCCATGCGTGTGAGTGACAGCGATGAACATCAGAGTAGAAGCGCAAATATGAAATGCCACATGTGTGTCACTTACTGTATATCATTGTGCATCTCTGTGTCTGTGTTCATGTGTTGATTATTTTTCAAATCAATAAATCTGCGCATGATCATCTTGAATGATTGTTCTCAAAAAAGTGTCAGAAATGACTGAAAAAAGCCATCAAGCAATGGCTTCAAATTGTCTGAGACGACAAGATGAAAAAACAAAGATAGTTATTTGTGTTTTTTCAATCAATCACCAAATTCTTAGATTTTGAGAAACGGGAAGTGTTTGATATTTATTTCACTTGCTCAATTTGGCTTACATATCACCTAAAGACCTACTGAATCCCAATGATCCTGTTTTGGGATCAAAGATACTCAGTTTCAAATCCAGTAAAATATTAGAAAATCAAAAATCCTGAACTACTCTTTACACTTTGTGACGAGATTCTGACAAAAATCAGAGATATTCAGTTTATGCAATATACTGACTGCAGTGCTATATTAGTTGTTTAAATCATCAAACACATCAAATAAATGTAATCAATCAATAATGTACGGCAAAGAAAATCATTGAATTCTCAGATGTGACAAACTGGAAAGGGAATTGGACATTTTTATTTGAGATTAATTTTTGGGCCAGAGTTGAAAGGGGGGGGAAAAGACTGGATAACGTGTGGATTGGTTACTGGCTTGGATTCGAACCATGGTCCTCTGCAGCAGAGACTAATCCCAGTACATAGGCCACCAAATGGCTTTTAAATTAGCAAACACATGTTTTAAAGACCTACTAAATCCCAATGCTTTCCTGTTTTGAGATAAAGTTTTGAATCAAGTAGCATCATATATAAATCCCCCCCTGATGGGAGCACCTTGTGACTCGACTCCCCGTCCAGACTGGCGGTGGTGACGTAGCAGGTCCCGTCATGGCGGCTGGAGGAGAGCAGGATGAGGTCGCAGGGGAAAGTCTCGTCCTCCCTCACCACCACGATGTCCCCCACCTGACAGCAGGACACACACACAGGACACACATTAATGGCTTTCACATAAATAATAAATGAGTATTATGATGAGAGCCTCGGATAAACACAGTGAAAGACAGACAGACAGACCTGAGGGGAAACGTCTGCTCATTTTTTTTTTCCCCAAAGGATTGAGAAGTTGCATAACGGATTATGCGAGTGGAGCAGCTTAAACTCTGATAAATCCCATCTCCACGGTGACCATACACATGACACACGCTCTCTGATTTTGCATGATTAATATATTCATCATTATTCCTGCTCCCGATTCACACTCTAATCCTCTCTGTTTGATCTACAGGAGAGAGGAACCTTGGTACGGAGAACGCTGCAAGACACACAAAGGGAGACAGAGAGAGCGAGACAGAGCGAGAGAGAGAGAGAGAGAGAGAGAGAGAGAGAGAGAGAGAGAGAGAGAGAGAGAGAGAGAGAGAGAGAGAGAGAGTTTCTGTTTTCTGATGACAAATGTCTTTCCCCACTAATGGCATGAAGTGAACACTGCTGTTAAGCACAGTACACTTACTCAAGTACTTTACCTAATTACAAATGTGAGGTACTTTTTCTTGTATATCTCTATGTAATGCTCCACTCTGCTTCAATTTGGAAGCAAATATTGTACTTTTGGCTCCTGTACATTCATTTGTCAACAAAAGCTACTAGCTACTTTGCAGGTAAGTTTTATTCATACAAAAATATAAACCAATAATGAATTATGATGTGCTTTCATGGATTAAGATACCTGGCGACTAACTAACTCATTGAAGTTATCTCCAGCTTTACTGCTGCAAAATAAAAGTAATGTACACATAAAGGAATCCCTACTGGCCATTCTTTATAATGAGTATGAGTTTTTGAGTTTTTTGTTCTGCTACTCAAATTATAAAATAATGCTAATAACTTTGTACTTAAAGGTGGGGTAGGTAATTTTGGAGAAACCAGCTCGAGTGCGCTAGAATTAGAAAAAACACAGCCGGAAAGAATCTGCCACTTCCTTACAGAGCCCCTCCTCCAACACACACGAATGCACACATGAGGATGATGAGGGCACGAGATGAGTTTGTGCACAGATGGAAGGCTGACAGGCAGGTAGGCCATCCAGTTATTTTAGCCGGGCCGGCTAAAATGATTGGTCGTGCTTTTTACAGTACTACGGCTTCCACAGATGACATTTCTTTATGGATTTGTTGTCAAAGCACTTAAGATATTCATTGCTATCGGGATGTTAAGAGCATTCCATGGAATATAACAAAAAGTGTATCTCGAGCCGGTTTCTCAAACTTACCTACCCCACCTTTAAATAAATAAATGAATTAATTAATAAATACATAAATTAATAAACAAGTAAAATAAATAAATGAATGCAGGACTTAAACTTAAACAGGACTAAAATAATGTTTGTATATCTATTTGTGAGATCATTTCAGACAAGGACTTTGCCATGAGTAATTATTTTTTTGTTCTGGATTGTTAATGATGTGTTTGGCTTAATAATGGTTAATAGTACGATCATTTGTGTTTCACTTCCGTACTTGATTGTTAATAACATGAGATGATTTGCTTTGTTTATGTAGTATGTATGTGGCTATAGTGTGCAGCTGTGTGTTTGACTGTATGTGAGTGGACCCCAGAAATAATAGCCCATGCTTATGCTAGTGCTAAAAGGGATCCTAACAAAGTCATAGAGACCTACACTACTGTATTACTAATTCGTCCACCTCTGCTGCTACGGCAACACATACTATAAGACTCTGTAACCTTTAAAGCAGGGCGCTTTATTCTACTCTGACCCTCAACATCCCACACACTCTGTGCACGCTTGACAGGAGAAGCAGACGCAGCAGAATTACATGTACCTGCACTCATTAAATACCCTCCACACAATGCTGAAGGCAGACTGAGATACAGCGTAGTATCTAAACATCTACATAGGAGCTGCTGAGCTCGACACTCCCGTCATGTTCTCTGACACCTCCGCTTTATTCACGCTGCGCTGACATGAGATACATATCTGCAGATTAATATGCAGCTCAGTGAAGCTGCTTCCTGTTTTTCCTCAAGAAATATTAATCTGCTTCCATAAATACTGTAGGAGTACTCAATTAAGAAAATAGTATGAATGGGCGTCTTACTCTGTTATAGCACACTATTCATGGTGCTAAGAACTCAGATCTTTTCCTTAAAGTAGCAACACCAAATTGAGGGAATAACAACATTGAAAATCTTTCTTAAGTAAAAGTACACAAGTATTACAAGTATAGGCATCAAATAAACTACAAAGTACCAAAAGCAACAGTATTCGGTAAGCATATAGGCCCAATTTAGAATCATACGAGTTACTGGATTATGATTATAAATCCATGAATGTGTTTATTGCAGCTGGTAAAAGTGGTGCTCATTTTAATCATGTGTTTATTGCTGTTGGATATTTTGTATACCTATGTTAGCAGCTGTTTGCGCAAAGCATCGTGTAACAGTCATAGCAATTGAATGATGTGTAAAGATAGAAACACAAGTTGTATCCAGATGAAATGTCATCAATGACCGTGGCTAGAGTGTTGTCTTACGAGGCGCAAAGACAACACTACTCTAAGTGTATTTTAGGAAGTGGATCATAAGTTGGAGCGTTGAGATCGATTTCCATGTCAGAAGCAGGAGAAGTCAAAAGATGTGGAGGCCGGGGGGGTCGTTTGTGTGAATAAAGGAGACTAAACAGTGTCTCCTGAAACAGTAATACTGAACTCAGGATCAAATATCTGTATTACATCAAATCTGTCATGCGTGGCTATGCAATTAAACATAGGAAACCGTTTAAACGTACTATTTTAAAGCAACATACGGCAAGGTATAGTCGATGCTATTGCAGAAAATGCGGATCCTAAATAGAATCGAACATGGGTTTTGATATTATATAAGTCTGATGGATTATAAGCCACTTTCTAGAATGAGACTGATACCAAAGAGTGATCTGCGGTTGCATCAGACTGACATAAGAGAGCGTCACAGGATGATGACAGGAATATCCTCTCTCATGAAATACATCAGTCCTGGGAACCTGCCAAAGGGGCTTCCCGCACGGTGCACAAGGGGACACTATAATTGTTCCTCTACTACAGTTTCATGGCAATTAATTGGTGGGAAAGACAAGCGAGAGGCCAGAGAGGAAGGAAACAAAGTTAGAGAGGGCTGCGGCTAGAAAGAGAAAGGGGGGAGTTGAGAGTTTTTAGAAAGTGGGCTATGCAGCAGCACTGTAGCGTTGTTTTTTAGCCTCAGGTGCTACACTGCTCTAATGAGGCCATTCTTACCCGTAGCTTGTGACTTTGAGTCCTCACCACCTTCCCCTGCTGCACCACGTCCACCGGACACTCGTTTATAGAGCAGTCAGCCTTGTGTCGGAGCCAGTCCTCGTAGCCCTGAGAGAGAGAGAGGGAGAGAGAGAGGGAGAGAGAGAGGGGAGAGAGAGAGGGAGAGAGAGGGAGAGACAGAGGGAGACAGAGGGAGAGAGAGGGAGAGACAGAGGGAGACAGAGGGAGAGAGAGGGAGATCAGAATCAGAATCAAGTTTATTGCCAGGTACGCTTACACATACAAAGAATTGTCTTTGGTTTATGACGGTACAAACATGAACAACATAAGAAAATAGGTTGTAACAGAAGGTCAAAAATATAACGATTATAAAAATCAAGTATTTACACCAAAAAAACTCAGTACAATGAATATATGACAATATATGACAAACTGCAATGTGTTGTAATTTAAAGTGGAGGGCTGTGCAGAAATGTGTGCAGAGAAGTGCAAAATATTCAGGGAGATGAACATGGCTCACAGTATTAAAAGATCACGGTCACATGATGTGCATTAATGTAATCGTAATGTAGATCGTAAGGAAAAAGGAAGAGAAAGCCAAAGTGTTTGTTGGCTGTGACGAAGATAACTTCGTCACTGTGGACTGACGGCTTCAGGCCTTGTATATTGCACATGTGTTTTATTTTGAAAAGTGTTCCCCCTCCCGTTTTTTCTGTTGCTCCTGATTATGTTCACCTGGTGCCCTGTGTTGTCTCCTCCCCCCTCACCTGTGTCTTCTTGGGTTAATTAGTGTGGCTCTGTGTTTCCTGTTTTGTTGGGTGTGTGAGATCCTTGTGGCTGGTGACTGTGCTCACGGGAACAGCAAGATTGAGGCTGTGTCCTGTGCTCGAATTTAATAAATGCCCACACCGGGTTATATTTTTGGACGTTCTGCCTCTGCCTCCTTGCTTAGTCGGGCCGCTCAATTGTCGGCTTCACATTGGCAATGGGGGAAGCAGAGAGTATAGATTATTGTGCGTAGTATGAGATCAAGAGACGGAGCGGAAGAGGTGAAAGTCATGCGCTGTCATTAATTAGCATTGTGTTCCCTGAGCTTGACCCGTTTTCTGGATTTCTCGCCAAATGTCAAGTTTTTTTAGATTTATGTCCAAGTAACGCTCAGGCTTCCTTAGCCAGAACAGCTCTATCTATCACTGATACTTCCCCATCAGAAGCGGAGCGCGGTAGAGAGGATGCTTCTCCTGGGGGCTCGAGTGATTAACAGAGGAGACCATTCATTATCATATTTCTCACATCACCAGACACATTCAATGGCATGTCCTTTCACTGAGAGAGGAATGTGTATATACAGATAATAGAGCAGCCGGTTCGTAGAGTGTGTGTGTGTGTGTGCAAGTTGGTGTGTGTGAGCGGGGTTCTGTGCGGGAAATATTTCTTGGAAATGTGAGCGTGTTGGTGTGTGTCCTACCTGTTTTATTGCGGTGACGGTGATAACGAAGAAGAGGGGCAGGCCGCTGGTGACTGGGCTGGTGGGGGTGTCGATGATGAGCTGCAAAGAGAGAGGAAGAGTGTGAGGAAGGTGCAGGGGATGAAGATGAAGGGGGGGACAACATAGAGGACGCCAAGTAATGCAACATTGAGTAAGGAAGTACAGCAGGACTTATAAACGCTTCTGTAATAAGGAATCAAGCGCCAATCTGGCAACGTTTATGTCTCCAAGTAATCAAATCTTGCTTGATATGCTCCATCTGTTCTTACAAGAAATATCCATTCTGGGATAGTTAACTTGTACATTTTTTCCCACTACTTTTTAGAGACATTTGTAGAAAGTAATAAAAGCAAAGTAGCAGCTTTCAGTCGACTTAGAGAAACATCGCTGCTATGTGCCATGCCCAGTTTGACCCATTTGGAAAGTGCAGTATTTCACATGTTACTGATAAAACACACAGCAACAAAGACTTAAGCTCTGGCTGTGTTGCAGTGTGGTTTATCAAGGTGATGCTGGTAAATAAATTGTTCTATCCTTCTCCTCTGTGATGAGTTTGTCCTTGTATTCAGCATTTGGTGCAATATACTGTAGTGGCTCAAGGAAATAAGCTGCTTCTCTTTGATTGTAATTTCGAAAGACACACACTGGGTAGTACAGCACTCATTTTCAGCATAATATGATGTTAGCAACTTCAAGTTATTCTGGTAATCATTTGTAACCTTAAACACTGGTGCAGGATTTAACTGGTCATCAAAAAGCAATGAAAACATGGTTTGAACTGATGTCATGTCATTAGTGATTGTAACCCTCTAAGAAACCGGTTAAATGTGGTTGTATGTGAGGAAAAAACATGTCTTTCTTTGAGAAACTATGATAAAATGTCACTAACGGACTTCACAAATGACGGTGTAGTATTATTGGATGAACTGCTATGAATTTTGCTACAGAGATTGATGTTCCAAGTAAATTCAAGCAAACTTCACCAAATAATCTGCAGTGTAAAAATGTTTTTACCAGGTTTTTTGGTTTCCCCAGAAACAATAACAAGTAAGTCACTGTGCACCAGCTAGAGAGTTTGCAGTTCTGTGCCAAATAAATTGAAACCAGCTTCTCAATTATGAGAAGAGTCTTGCAAAAACATCAGCAACCTAATGTATATTTGAACATTAACGTATTAAAAATGGGGCTATGTTCAGCTGTCAAATGCCTCCAGCTGCCATTAATATATCCTGATGCTAAGCCATGCACTTTCATTTTTAAGTAAGGCCATTAAAAAAGGTAGGTATTCAGAAAATGAATGCATAAAATAGAACTAGTAATACATTGTTGGATAGTTTGTATTTAACTAATGGACAGCTGGGAGAGTATTTCCTTTGTGTTCTAAGGTTGAATAAAATGAGGTGGAAAAATGATCACTGGTTTTAATGAAATCTCACCTGGACCAGAAATATAACCAAGAAGTAGAAGTTAGCGATCCTTCTGAACTGCTCGAATAAATTCTTGGGGATGAAGTTCCAGAAGGTGTACTGTGGGACAGAGCGACAGAGTTATTCTCACGCACATAATATAAAAAAACAGAAAAAGGAAAAACAACAGCACGAGAGAAACGGTGGCGCACAGCTTGACGAAAAACTAGCGAAGTGAAATGTGTCATCCTTAAAAACATGGCCACAAAAGAGATTACATGGTTGTCTCAATATAAGAGGAAGGCGCGGCATGATGATGAACAATGCTTCGGCTGTGACTCGGGGGGGGGGGGGGGGGCTGAGGCTCGCTCACCTTGGAGGAGACGATGCGGTTGTCGGGGTAACGCTGAGGGATGTAGGCCTCAGCTCCCGGAGGAGGCTCTTTATGGCCGATGTACACCGTCCGACTGTCCACCCAGATCTCCTCCCCCACACACTGACGGAGAGAGAGATATATGTAGAGTTATAAATAGCAATACAGGTGGAGAGAGAAAAAAACGGGGTTAAATCACACTGTGTCGCCTTGGTGATGCGTTTCCTTACAACTTCTATTATTATTATGGAATATAACAGCACTTATAGTTATTACACGTTGACATCCATCATTTCAGACCTTACAATAAATCAAAACCATGCTTTTGTTCAATGGAGTACTGTGAAAATATATACATTTATAGTTTTTAATTATCTGATGTTGCTTGTTGATGTTTTTTTTTAAAAAGATGACATATTATGATAATTTTCAGGTTTCATATCAGTATGTTGTTCCTCTACTGTGACATGTCTCCATGCTTTAATGTTCAAAAAGCTCTTTATTTTTCTCATACTGCCTGTGCTGCAGCACCTCTTTTCACCCTCTGTCTGAAACCAGAGCCCAGTCTGCTCTGATTGGTTAGCTGGCCAGCTCTGTTGTGATTGGTCAACCGCTTAGAGATGTCCCGCCGCTTAGCCTATCACGTACAATGTGTTGGAGTGCTAACCAATAGAAACGCGAGTGTTACATAGTGATGTCACCGTTCTCAGCACTAACAACACTAATGCTGGAATAATTGATTAGTTAATGAATAAATCACCAAGCAGATTTGTTAAATTAGGTCATTTATCAAGCAGAAAAGCCAAAATTCCCTAGTTTCAGTTCTCAGACCCTATTTAGATATTGTATTATGATTATATAAGTACAGTGCCGTGTCTGCATAGCCAACTGTTTGGCTTGTGGTATTTCTATTTGCAGCTTTCTCTTAAACCGCTCATCCAAACAATTTCACACCCGACACTGAACTTCCTTGGGTCCTCCTCAGCAATGCCCACCAAGAGAGTAGAGTGAAAATGTACAGTTGTTGATACATATGAAGGAAAGACATACAGAAACTTAGATTTTAAACATTAGATTTTGGGCTATTGGTCAAACAAACCAACAACAATCAAAACTGAGATGGAAATACATCATATCTGTGGTTACAAATACTCTATAATTAAATAAAAAATTAAAACATGTATAGTGATTGTTTTATAAGAAGTTGAGCCCAAAACAACATCTCATCAAATTCCTTACATATGTAATTTTTTTAATTTTGTATTAATTAAGAATGAAGTATTATGAAGTAGCCTAACTGTCATGGATGAGAAGTGCAGTCAAGAAACAAAACGTTACACAAGAGTGCAACACGACTTTTAACAAACACCCTGGCCGACAGCAGCCGACAGAAGGAAGAGTGTGTGTTTGTTGATGTGTGTACGTTGGATCGGCTCTGAGTCACACAAGTGTGGATGTATCTGTTTACTCCTTCCTGCCGGACTCTTCGCTCTGCATTACTCTCACACACAGACACAAAACAACACTGTTGGTTTTTACTATGATTCCTTGACAAAAATGTATGAAAGCAGATTGGCTGGTGCATGCAAGCCTCCATCTCAGTCCATCTCTCATCTATACATCTAAGAAGCTCCCCGGGGGAATAACAGTGTGCATTCTGGGAGTTTACCCCAAGGTGTCCTTCATTTAACAATATTGTGGAAATAGAGCTCTCAAAAGAAAAAACACGAGTCAAGAGAGCACGGCGTTCAGCTGTTTGTTTCCATCTGGCTTCCTACATGGCTCTAATGCTTTTGCCAGAGCGGGCAGTGTGAGCCTTTGGCAGAGCAGCCGGCCCGACACAGCGCGAAGCTGAAGTGTTGACCATCAGCAAAAAGTTCTGGAACAAGCATTTCATGGGGAGCAGCGCTTCACTGCTTAAAATGTCCTCAACATTTTGGCAGAGGTGTCGTTAATCCCTGCCAAAGACCAAATCTTTCATTGTTCACAAGTCTCCTCAGCAACCTTGTAGATTCAAACATGTTTTTTTTAAAGCTGGAATAAACTTTGCTTTGAAATCAAAACAAATGATGTACTAACACTCCAAAGCAATAAGAGAGTATTTGATGTTGAATCGCAAGAGTGAAAAGCTCTGAGTCACACATCTAAACTTATCCACAATGATCAACAGGCACTTGGCAGTCGGATATAAATAGAGTAACAGGACTTGAGACCCCTCCAAAACATTAGGGGGAGAAACATGACCCGGAGAGATACAGTGAAATGGAAAGAGAGCAAGATAATAAGACAGACAGAAAAAGTGCAGCTGATTGAAGAGGGGCGAGAAACAAGAGCAAGTGACTGAAATGAAGACGATGCGAAAGGAACGTTTGTTGAGATACAAAAGAAAGCGTTACAAAGTAAGATTTGGTTGTAGAAATTTCAGATACGTAAACTAGATGATTTAGCACTAGTTATTTTGGTAAATGTCATGCTCATAGGTCTCACAACTGTGTCAAAAATAACTTCCTCGGCTCTGTTCCCAATACATAAATTACCCTGCTTAACAATATGTTAGTCAGATCATACTTGTCTAGTTTAGAGGTTGTTGTGGACATTGTGATCTTTATACCAACAGACCTTTATGATTTGTCAATAATTTGTCTTTTTAATGGTTAATCCAATAATAAAAAGGGTTCAAAAACACAGTTGAGTAAAGTGCAAATTCAAATTAAACATATGCCAAAAGTTAAGAGTTTTTCGCATTTATTTTCCTGATGAATAACTGAGATGATTAATTGATTATAAAACTGAATTCAGAGACATTTTTCTGTCCTTGTTATTATCATGATAACAATACATCATATCTACTGTGTTACACAACGACTTCTATTTCAAACATTTCTTCATCCTCTAGTCTCTGATCCGTCCTGTCATATTTCTATCTGCACTGTTTTCCCTCTTTTGTTCCCTCCATCTCCGGCAGTGTGTGCCACACTCTGACAGTGTGACAGTGGGAGAAAGACTCAGAGAGATTGCATTGTGGTTTGTAGTTATCTGATCATTAATCCTCACTGATCCGTATCAACCCCTGGTCCACTGTTCTCTCCTCACTCCGCCGCTCCATCAGACAAAGTGGCTGGCTGGTTGGTTGTGGGACATGGAAGCTTTGTCTTTATTAACACTGAAAAAGCCTCCGAGCAGCGAGGCTGGTCTTACATCACACTCCATCATCAAGTATCCCACCACTGCAACTTCTCCTTTCATGTTTCTGGTGATCTAAGTTTTGAACTGTTTGAACTCTGGAATTGGGCCGTCATAAAGCTCAGTTGGTAGAACTTGAGGCCCATGAACTGGGGATGGTTCCCCAAGTGGATGACCCGGGTTCGGATCCGGCCTAGGATCATTTGTCACATGTAATCCTTTCTGTCTCCCCCCTTTAACAGTGTCACTTGAATAAAGGCATTGGTGGCCCGAAAATATCTTTTAAAAAAACACTCTGGATTAGGGCGGGGACATTTTTTACTATATCAAATATGTTTGACCAAATACCCCGATATCGATATTGCAACAATATTGTAGGCTTGACTATTGGTGCTTTCCTAACATGTGTACAGAATGAGATGTTGAATAATCATCAGTATATATATATTTATTTATATATATATATATATAATGTCTAAAATATTAAACTTTGATCATATTATTATTTATTTTTCAATGATATTGAGAATAATGATGCACAAAGGATTGTTCCCTCCAATAAAATCCTATTGCAATTGCAATATTAGTCAAAATAATTGCAATTAGTTATTTTCGTCCCAATCATGCAGCCCTAGTAAAGACAAATCTGTAATATTCAAAACAAATTCATCACTTTACTATATTACCACCTTTAAAACCAGGAAAAGACTACACAGTATCTACTGACATATCACAAAATTCATATTATATCAATATATTACCGAGCCCCACAGAAAAGAAACAGGTCTGATAGTTTTAAGGTTTAGAGACACACACAACCTCTGTAGTTGTGACCTTTCCCCACTGTGTTTCTACCGTAGCACTTTACAGAATAATGGATGTGAATATCTTCATTGTGGGAAAGCGACCCTTGACGCTGACGCTGCCATGATCTATCCCTATGGTGCAGCTCCTTTTTGCTGCAGAGGTGTAATAAAAGGTATACACCATTAACTGGTCTGATTGAATGGTCATGTCTCATCCCTGCTCGACTGTCCTGCCATGCTGTGCTGCCGGAGCACAGCGCATGTTGAGCAGCATCGCTCATTAACTCCCTGATCAAATGTCTCTGACTGAGCTCTTCCTTAATGAACTACTCATGTTAACTGTACAGAGGAAGTGAAAACATACAAACCATGATATCACAACAACAGGATGTGGTAGAATTAAGTCAATAGAGTATCAATGTTATGGGAGAAGATTAAATAACATTGGGAACAAATATTTCTGCTTTGAGAGCGTTTAAAAAGTGAATGCATGAAAGTTAGAGAAATTAAGCTCGTTGCTAAAGCTCTTTGCAAATTCACCCTTAACTGATATATTAGTGTTCACTAAGTGGTTGATTTTTAGAGAACACTTCACTAAAAATTAGTTACAGTACACAAACTACTATTTATGAAAAATTAGTAGTGATAAATATTTACAACTATCGTAAGGTGTAGCTGTAACGTAGCTAACTGGGCTAGCTTACAAAGCTTATGTTAGCTCGCTAATATAAAGCTAGCAGGGTGGAGGTTAAAATCTGAAAACATCCTCAATATAGTGTACAGTATATATCTCACCTGACACTATATAAAATGCTGTTTAATTATGGGGTAAACGGAAAGGTTTCGAAAGTCACATTTGATCAATATAACTCAAATGACAAAACATGGTAATAACGATGGCAAAACGCCTAGCTGATTAGAGTTGGTAAGGTTAGCATAATCAGGTATTTCCCACTCATTCTAAACCCTACTGTATGAACTCTGAGACAAATAGTTCTCCATGTATTTACAAAAAGATTATATAATAACTACTTTTACAAATAATTGAAGAGTTACATTTAAAATGCAATATCATTAGCAAGCCTTAAAACTGTTATTTTTGGCAGTTGTTAGGACCAATTAAAAAATATTTCT